AAATTATGATTTTTAGTATTTTTTGATAATAAGTGATTTTGCTTTGATTAAAATTGCATTGTCAATTGGGACTCACTTGCTGTCTGAAATTGAGCTTCATTTTCTTAGCCTCCTCTTCTTCCTTCCCATACTTCCTCCACCAAGTTGTTATCTTGAGTTTAGTAACTCATTTTCTTTGTTTTTTGATTTCTGAAGAAAGTAACTGACAGTGTGCACACTTAACCAAATGAATTGGATTATCTCAACAGGAATAGTTTGCAGCAAAATGGAGGCAAAAAAATGGTGGTGAAGTTCTGAATTGTTTTCATTTGGTTTTTTTTTTGTGTGTGTGAGTGGGTTTCAGAGGTTGATCCCTAAACAAACCGCCCACCTAAATCAAGCATAGCTGATTTAAGATTTTGAATGTGAAACTGAATTGAATACAAATAAATGAAATAAAGTTTGTGCATTTGTACAATTTTGTTGTTCTTGACAGATGAAGTACATATTGTTGATTGTGAAATTACTATTTTGTGGTATGGCATTGCAATCATGGAGGTGATTTTGCTTCAGAATAAAACTTAGTGGTTAATTTGGACTCACTTGGTATTTGAATTCAGTTTCTTTTTGGTCTCTTCTTCCTCCACCAGGCTGTCCTCCTGAGTTTAGCAACTCATTTTCCTTTGTTTTTTTGATCTTTGAAGAAATAACTGAAAGTGCACACACTTCACCAAATGAAATTGGATTAACTGAACAGGAATAGCTTGCAGCAAAATGGAGGCCATAAAATGGGGTGAAGTTCTGAATTGTACAGAATTGCTTTCATTTGTTTTGTCTTTTTGTGTGTTCCAGGGGTTGACCCGTGAACCATCCCGATTAGTTATCGATATGAAATGACATCACGTGATCGTACGTTTGAAAATGAATTATTAATATCTCATAACTAAAATGAAAAAACAATTTTTAATTAATAAAAACTAAATTGACTACAGAAATTTTATCCACCTTAAGGGATTGCACTTCCACATCTATTGAAACATCTTGGTAGATTGATAGGACAATTGAATATTTAAACTTGGTGAAGTAGTCAGGTTCCTATCGCAAACAAGAATCTTTCGGATGTTGTCATGCACCGATATACGGGATTAAATATATCTGTGTCTAGAGCCGTAATATGTTGTTAAAGGAACCAGAATACTACACCAAATTTAAATATTCATGTAAATGTTTCAGTAGAAATGGAAGTAGATTCCACAACAGTGGATAAAATTTCCCTATTTCTGTTGTCAGTTTTTTAAAAAATTAAAATAATTTTTTAATAAAATAAAAATGTCAGCAAAAGTTGTCATGCAGATTCAAATAATACAATAGTTTATGCACTTATTTATGATAAAAGTTTCAAATTAATATTTGGAATTAACTCTTTTGTATTTTAGTACCAATTTAATTTAACAGTCAGGGATGGCATTTTCTCAATCAAGGAGCAGTTAGTAAACGAATAAAACTAACAATTTATATTTCATAAACGAAAACAGATTTAAAAATTACCTTCAATATCAGATATCACAGGAGCCATTGATAAATACTTAATGTGAGAACAAAGATCAACTTAAACAGAAAACGACGCAAGATGTTTTGAACAAGTGTAGCTCACGAACGAACCTGATCAGAACCGGCATGGGCACTAGCTATTTATCGATATAAAACTATCGCCAACTATCGATATATGAATATAATTAAGCAAGAAGAACTCGTGTCTAATCCATAAGCACAAACATATAAACTAGAGATGGATAATATTTAGTTGACTAGTGAAACTGTCGAACCAAGCAATTGCATGCGGATCACTATCAAGGCTAAAAATTAGAAATAACATTATAACAATGATGAATATAAAAGTATGTAAATAAGAGAAGACAAAGATGGAACCTGCAGATGCGATAACGGTAATATAAACATACGAATACGAAAATGTTATTGCGTTACAAATAAATTCACGGGCGGATCTACGGGGGGAGGGGGCTTTGGGCTGAAGGTCAATTATTAAATATAAATAAAAAAATTAAAGTTACTTTAGAGGGAGCTAATATTGAAATTTTGCCATTTAAGCCCTGTTAGAGAACATCAATCAGAATAATAACCACATTTTATTTAAAACTGCTTAATTTTACACTGATATGATGAATTTAATAGAAATTGTTAGAGTGGTTTTCGAGATAATCGTAAAAATGTGTTTAGTCCATTATATAAAGTGCCACTTCCAGTCAGCCCATTTTGACGAAAAAGTTGCTGTAACATCCTCAGCATATAAAAACCTTAAATATGTAATTTCACTTCCGTACGACTTTTCACTTCCATACGAGCTAGACTGTTAACACGCACACGCACTGACCATTTTGCGGGACTTGGTTATTTGGACTCAGAGGACCTTAAAACATATATATCCGTTGAAAACTCAGATTTAAAAATGTTCACAATCACAATACCCTTACTATATATTACATATAAACGTAAGTGAAAGTAAAATATGTAATAAGTAAACAAAGACAAAAAAAATGTTACATTGCCACTAAGCTAACTAATATATTTAAGCTAATACATTACAAATTAATAATGATCAAAGATATTATTATAATATATTTAAAGATATTATTATTATTCTAGAATTTCGTTCTTTCGGACTTGGTTGGTATTCCTGATTTGACAACTAGTGACATCTCAATAAACATTTGTGAAATATGAATATCAATATAAATATTGATTATCTAGCATATAAGTGCAACAAAGAACTTGTTATTTTGCCCTTTAAATTAATTAATGGAAATATCAATTCTTCTACCTTTTTAAGTAAAATTAATTTTCTAGTTCCTATGCATTTTCATCCTTATCTTTTTCTAGAAATTTCCATTTAACCAATTATGCCTTCCATTCGATCGGATTCAGCTAAATGCTATTTTATTAGCATCCTACATAGATTTTTTTGACAATTCATGGGCTTGGTTTGAGATGGTTCTAACAAACAAATTCGGGCATATTGAGTGTACTGACAAGGGGAGGTTACTTGCAGCTGATTTTAGTCAATTAATAAAGCAATTGAATTAGAGACATGTTGGATGAAATAAAATTCAAATATTGCTTAATACAAAGCAGCGTTAGAAATAAATTAATTTCTGGAGGGAGAGATGGGCAGTGGTACCCACAGGCGAATCCCCTCTCCCCAAATGGTAAAATGTAACCATGTTTTATGGTAAAGACATCAATGAATTATTTCTTAAAGTATTGTTATTTAACTACTTTACATTTAATTAGAACTACTTTACAATTACATTTAAAAACCTTCAAGAATATCTTAAGCACCAATTTCATATTGGTAGTTAGTATCTTTTTTTTTATATATATATGAAAGAACTTTCGAGCTGAAGCTCTCCCCCAAAATTAAATCCTGGATCCGCTAGTGGTGGTGGCCAAATGTCTTAGGCCGGCCATTGTTTAATCAGATAACCTTTTCCTACCGTTGATACAAGATAAAATGTTCTTAAAACAAAAAAAGTTAATAAATAGTAGTTCCGAATCATTACTCCTAGATCTAATTTAGCACACTGTAGATGGAGCCCTAAGGTATGCTGAAAATAGCGAGGACTTAGCCACCACAAAACCATTAGAGGAGGGACAATTGCTTAGATACCATTGGACACGATTGCTTAGGTACCACCGCAGACCAAAATAACATTTATTTGCCGCCAGGGTCCTCTTACATATTTCCTCAGATACATCCTTGTCAGCATTTACTTGGGAGCCCAGATAAACAAATCGCTGGACCGTTTCGATTGTATAGTCACTAATAGAGATTTGTGGATGTAGTGCATTTATGCCAGAAACCATAAACTTGATTTTGCTCTCATTTACAGACAGTCCCATCTTCCGCGCAGAGAGACAGAAGAACTTCCTTTACGCCGCGAAGTGATATCCCGATGATATCAATATCGTCTGCGTATGCCAGGAAATGTATAGACTTGTTAAAGATGGTCCCATCCAGCTGTATTCGCGCATCTCTGACAACTTTTTCAAGTGTCACATTGAACAGGAGGCAGGCCAACGAGTTCTCCTGTCTTACCCCTTTTCTTATACAGATCTTCTCTGACACCCCATCCTGGATTCTCACTTTACATTCCACCGTGTTCATTGTGAGTCGAGCTAGGCGGATTAGTTTTTTAGGGAAATTCAGTTCATCCATTGCATTAGAGTTGTTCCCTGTTAATGCTGTCATAGGCCGCCTTAAAATTGATGAATAGGTGATGTGCTGGCAGTGAATACTCTCTTCCTTTCTAGAGACTCATTATGAAGGAGAAGATCTGATTCGTCGTAGATCTACCCTGACGAAAACCGCACTGGCAGTCAGCAATTACTGTCTCAGCGAACGGGATAAGACGCCAAAACAAGGAGAGTGAAAAGATCTTGTACACAATTGGGAGGAGAGAGACCCCTTTGTAATTATTGCAGTCCAGCTGATCGCCCTTTTTGTGACTAGAGCTGATAATAGTTCTCTGCCAGGATACAGGCAGCGATTCTTCCAGCCAGACAGATAGAACCAGTTCATGTACCACTTTTCTAAGGGTACCTCCCCCATACTTAAATACCTCCGCTGGTATGTCATCATAGCCTCGTGCTTTATTGTTTTTTAGCGTTTCGATAGCGTCAGTGATTTCGTGGTCATGGGGGGGGGGATTCAAGCTCATCATCTGCTGTTCGAGTTATAATGAATATACTCTTTATTAATGGAGAATATTGTATTAATATTAGTATTCTTAACTGTGTAACATGAAAAATCTATCATAATCAGTCCGCGAATGATAAGTGTTTTGCTTCTGATAAGACATATTTTTTTTAAAAATAAGCTTACTACATTACCACGTTGATTATGTTACAAATATAAGTATGCTAAATTTTTAAAGGTATTTTTATTTGATAGAAGGTGAAAAAGAATGACATTAAATCTTAAATAGACTAACTTAAATTGCAGGGGCCGTTCTGTCTGAAGTTATCCACGGACAGGTTTTGTTATTGTTACATGCTTCGTTTGCGGTGTGGCTGTTGTTTCGTTCGAAATTACGATTTAAGTTCTCGAACGTGTGAAATGTTAACTTAGTAGTTTAAATATATTTGTTCCGATGAATTGTACGGATTTGGATATATCGGCTTTTTGTTCTGTAGTATATTCTGCTTGTAGTTGATAAGGATGGGTCTCCAAAAATTATATGAGAGTTCAGGTAGTTCTTCCAGTGCTTAAAATTAGAGTATCTTAAAAATGTTTCTCCTTCTATTATCATTGCATGAAAAGTTTTCTTCTCTAATTACTTATAATAAAAAAAAAAGGTTTTAACTGTTTGGTTAAGTAGAGTAATAATTAAATAGGACCAGTTGTCAAATTATAAACTCAATAACTATCGAATTAGTTTATCCTGACAAATCAAATGTATTGTATTATATATTTTTGTTTGAAGGACTGTTTGCTTTTATTTCGTTCTAATTTCCTCTCAAACTTAACTATGATTCCTTATTTATTTTTTTTTTAAATTAGACAATATTAGTTATTATTAATAATAAGAGAATGTTGGAGAGTCTACAGAAAGGCCATTATGTATTTTTCTTCATTTCTGTTATTCAAACAAATGAACCAATTGAAAATGAGATTCTTTGAAATTGTATTAGATTTAAATTAAAGTAATTTTTTTTCTTCTGTGAGCATAACAGAACATGCAAATCATTTGTCACCTTAACAAGCCTGCTCCATCTCTGCCTGTCTTGGGCTATTTCTTTCCAGTTCTTTGCACGCAGCTCTATTTCATCTTTGTTTATTCCATTGATCCACCTGCTTTTTGGCCTTCCACGTGGTCTTTTGCCTTCTATTGAGCCATTCATTGTTATGTAGAGGCTTCCAGATGGATTGCTATGTGCTACATGTCCTCCTCATCTCTACTTCTGTGCCTTCATATCATGGGATATTGATTGACCAGTTTCTTTAATAAGTTCCTTATTGGTGTTTCTTCTCCTTGTGTTAGTACTCTGATCCCAGATCACTCCGGTTATCGTGCGGAGGATCTTTCTCTCAAATCTTTCAATGCTTTTTTCTAGGGTGCTGGTTAGTGTCCAGGTCTCGCAGCCATATATTAAATTAAAGCCATAGTCATTGTTTGAACATATCTCTTAGAAATGAATAAAATCCTAATCAAAGCATTTAAGCATTATGTAATCTGCTGAGGACAGTCCAAAAAAATGTCTGTTTGTCAACTAATAACACAATTAGCTTAATATATCTATTCATAATTACGTGACTGAATAAACCATCATTAAAAAAAAACAAAAATTACTTGTTGATATTTAAATATTCAAATTGTGAGTTTCAAGATCATCTTTACCATACTGTAAGAAATACTGATGAGTCCGGAATAAATGGAAATCCGAGAATGGCTGAGTATTAACATGTTCACGGTATAACCCCCTTTGTTTAGAACTTGATTTTTGACTTTCTCCACACTCCTAACTGGTCATTTTCAGTTAAAATCAGTGCAATAATTAGCTTTTTGTTCATCACTGTTTTCGAATCGGATTTGACGGATATGGACTGGTACGGTCACCTCAGTCTATTTTCAGACAGGGAGGACAGAGGGCATTCTCAGAATTCCATTTGTGCAGTGATCTTGTGCCACTTTTCTAAATCTAGCAACACTTGTTAGGTAGTACCTTTATTTTCCTTATAAGCAGTTAAAATTTCATCAAACCGTTGCGAAACTTTTTGATACGTTGGTTTATTCTGTTATTTATGTATAGAAAGAAGTGAACATGACGAGGAGTTTATCTGACCAAATGTAAACCTTCCACAATGAAATGTTGGAGATTGGTCTTCTTCATCTAATTTTTTACATACTTATGTTGCTTTGGGATTATCTTTATAGGGTGCTAAATGTGAGCTTGAACTCAGTCACCTTTGTGGAGTCATAATTTGAAATTAGTACTAAATTAAATATTCAACATGTCAACAGTACAACTGCATAATTTTGTGTATCTGACATAGTTTTTCAGAGACTCTTTTAAAAATAAATCTTTAACCCATCTGAAGGTTCCTAAGCTTACATATTGTCACAGACATATGTTGATATAAAAAATGTATTCTGTTCGATCTATAAAATCCTGTTTTGTTATAGAGATCCAAAACTTTGTTCTAATAACAATGGAACTTAACAGGTTTGAAAGGTATACTATTGATGGCTTATGTTTTTCGAAGCAGTATGTAATTTTTGTAATCTGTAAATAATGAGGTGCCATTTTTTGGTCAGGGTAATAGCAATAAAACTGACACCACTAGAATATTTTGTCAGTATGTGTTTTTTTTTTTTATGGAAAAGCTTCCACAATTAAAATAAAGTTCTTTGGAAGTCATTATTTTTTATATTTTGATTATCAAAATAATTTTTGAAAAAGAATAATTCTCTTAATTGTTAGCAATTGTTTTATGGATAATATTTATGTCAATACTTTTACCTTTATTCCTTTATTTATGTTTTTACATTCAATATTTTTCATTAAAAAAAATTTGAGAGACAATGAATTGCTACGTATAATTTCTGTCTCTTAAGTCATATGGTTGAAGATTTTTTATTTCTATAATCTGAGGTTGACTTAGTTAGAAATTTTAACTGTTTAGGAATTCTTTAATATTGACTTCTTTTTTTTTTAAAGCCTTTATGAATCTTATTTTAATAAAATGTTAATTATTCTTACAGATGGTGGGAGTGAATCAGATTCCAGCGAATCTGCCCAAAGTGAGCAATCAGGAAGTGGAAGTTCCCGTAGAGATGCTCCTGTCTCTGAAAATGATGAGAGATCTCGAAGTCCAGTTAGTCAGAAATCTGGCAGCCATCGTTCTGTTTCGGGTAGTCCACGCGGTAGTCAATGGTCTGGGTCAGGTAGTCCGCAAGGAAGCCACCATTCTCCTTCTGCAAGTCCACAAGGTAGCCAACATTCCCAACAATCAGGGAGTGCACGATCGCGTCGATCGGGGAGTGTAAGATCTCAGAGGTCTGCTAGTGATGCATCCAAAAGATCAGGCAGTGTGAGTTCTCAAAAATCTGGAAGTGGTCGTTCACAGAGGTCTGGTAGTGCTTCTTCTAAAGGTTCAGCGAGCCCTGCATCGCGGAAATCACAATCAAGAACCTCGAGATCTAGATCGAGATCCCAGAGCAGTGCAGCTTCAAGATCTCGTTCAGGCTCCCCTGTCAGTACAAAGAAGAAATCAAGTGAGTAAATTTTCTGTTAATTAAGTTATATTCAATGCTATTGTTCATGAAAAAACTATTTTTAATATTCATAATTGGTAATTGGTTGACTGTCGTGGATAATGAAGAGAAGAATAGTTGGGGTGCTCAGTCAAAAAAGGAAGGCAAAAATAAATTATAATATTTATTTTTTACATATGCCGACGTTTCGACCTGAAGTTCAGGCCATCATCAGGGCTTTCTCCTTAAGTGTCAAAGTGAGAATGGAATAATTTTGACAGAAGTGTTGGGTGTGGAAAAATTAGGTCCTAAACTTAAAATATTAGTGACTTTGGAGGGGATGTCAGTGGAGGAGATATTGTCCACCCATTCTTCTTTTCCTGCAGGATAAACCTTGGTTTTGAGAGTGGCCTGGTACAAATTATTAAACTTGGAAATTAATATAAGTTTCTTCTGTGCTTTAGTGGAATTAAAGATATTGGAAATGCAAACGGGAGATTATTAACGTCTTCTTGGGTGATGTTATGATCGAAAAATTGGGTGAGAACTGAAATTTGCTTATGGAGAAAATTAATATTTTGAATGGTTTCACGAATTTTTAGGTTAAGCAAAGATTTTTTTTCATTCTTGATTGCAAAGATTTTTCATTCTCACTTTGACACTTAAGGAGAAAGCCCTGATGATGGCCTGAACTTCAGGTCGAAACGTCGGCATATGTAAAAAATAAATATTATAATTTATTTTTGCCTTCCTTTTTTGACTGAGCACCCCAACTATTCTTCTCTTCATTATTTTTAATATTATTTCAAAGTTAAGTATTGAAAATATGCAAGACTAAATGTTGCTTGAACTTATATTAATTAATTGAGTAATATGTTATAAAATTCTAGTTTTAATTATTAATCGTCTGTAAAATAAATTGATGAAAAATATTTCACCGACATGCCAAATTAAAAATTAAAAAGGACTTGTTGTCAAATCATAAACTTAATTCCTATTAAATTAGTTTATCTTGACAAATAAAACGTATTTTATGATAAATGTTTGTTTGAATGACTGTTGGCTTATATTTTCTTATGTTTTCTTTTAAACTTAACTATAATTCCTGGTTTATTTTTAAAAAAATTGGACCATATTAGTTTTTAATTGATAATAAGAGAATGTCGGAGATTCTAGAGAAAAGTCATTTTATATAATGAAATTACCATGGCTTTAATTTAGATCTAATACAATTTCAAAGAATCGCATTTCCAAATTTATTAAAATCATAGAAATGTAAGAATACATAAATTTACCGTATAAAATGTTCATTATATAAATTGACATTTCTCTAGAATCTCCAACATTCTCTTATTATGAATTAAAAATTAATATGGTCCCATTTTTTAAAAAATAAATCAAGTATTATAGTTAAGTTTAAAAGGAAAACATAACAAAATATAAGCCAACAGTCATTCAAACAAACATTCATCATTTTTATGTTTTATTTGTTCTCAGTGACCAAAAAACTAATTAAAGTCAAAGTCCTCTGTCGGCCATGTTTGGGTACTATTTTGGGGCAGTTCGTTCAATTTTTTTTGTGGGAACATTGCCTTTTTTTTTTTAATAAATAGTTACAAGAAACCCAACGATATGCAATCTATAGGGATGTGGAGGGGAGGGCGTTGGGGCTGGCCCACCGTGTACATTTATGCATTATTTAATCTGTGGAGGACAGTCTATTTGCCAACTAATGACTTAATTAACTTAATACATCTATTCATAATTACATGACTGAATAAACCATCGTTAAAAAAAAAAAGTTGATCTTTAAAAATTCAAATTGTGAGTTTCAAGATTATCTTCATCATCTATAACATACTCTAAGGAATATTGGTGATTCTGGAATAAATGGAATGCCGAGAATGGCTGAGTATTGACATGTACACGGTATATCCCTCTTTGTTTAGATCTTGATTTTGAACTTCCCCAAACTCCTAGATTTTCTTTTTTCCTAGCTTTATCCCAAACTCCTGGTACTTTTCAATTAAAATCAGGACAATAATTAGCTTTTCGTTCATCTCTGTTTTTGGATTGGACCTGAAGGATACGGACTTGTTCGATCACCTCAGTCTATTTTCAGATATACTCGGCCATTCTCACAATTCCATTAATAGAGTGATCTTGTGCCACCTTTCAAAATGTAGCAATACCTATTAAGTAGTGCCTTTATTTTCCTTGGAAGAAGTGAAAATTTCATCACACGGCTGTGAAACTTTTTAATACATTGGTTTATACTGTTATTTATGTATAGACAGAAGTGAATGTGATGAGGACTGTATTTGACCAAATGTAAACCTCCTACAATGAAATGTTGGGGATTGGTCGTCTACATCTAAATTTTGGACACACTTACGTTGCTTCGGGATTATCTTTAAAGGGTGCTAATTGTGAACTTGAACTCAGTCTTCTTTTTGGAGTTTTAATTTGAAATTAGTACTAAATTAAACATTCAACATGTCAACATTATAACTGCAAAACTTTGTGTATCGGATATAGTTTTTTAGAGACTCTCCTAAAAAGAAATATATCTTTAACCCATCTGAAGGTTCCTAAGCTTATATGTTGTCACATACGTATGTTGATATAAAAAATGTATTCTGTTATAGAGATATATAACTTTGTTTTAATAACAATGGAATTTATCAAGTTTCAAAGGTGGTATACTTTTGATGTCTTATGTAATGTACTAAATTAAAATGAAATTGAATGTACTAAATTAAACATTCAACATGTCAACAGAAAAAGAATTTAGAGTTTATTAACCACTAATTACAATTTAGTCTGACCAGATGGCAACATCTGTAGGTTGGTGCCATTAATGATGAGTAAATAAAATCTATTAGTTTACATTTTTTTTATTTTTTATAACTATTACAATATATAACATAGTAAAATAATACAATATACCAAAAAAGTTTGACAAACAATAAATTGCTATGTATTCAATCTGTTTCTGAAATCTTATGGTTGAAGATTTTTTATTTTTATAATCTCAGGTTGATTTAGTTTTTTTTAACTATTTAGGAATTCTTAAATATTGCTGAACTGTTTATGAATCTTATTTTAATAAAATGTTAATTATTCTTACAGATGGTGGGAGTGAATCAGATTCCAGCGAATCTGCCCAAAGTGAGCAATCAGGAAGTGGAAGTTCCCGTAGAGATGCTCCTGTCTCTGAAAATATTGAAAGGTCTCGAAGTCCACCAGTTAGTCAAAAATCTCGAAGCCCAGTCAGTCAAAAATCTCGAAGCCCAGTCAGTCAGAAATCTCGAAGTCCAGTCAGTCAAAAATCTCGAAGTCCAGTCAGTCAAAAATCTGGGAGTCCAGTTAGTCAGAAATCTGGCAGCCATCGTTCTGTTTCGGGTAGTCCACGCGGTAGTCAATGGTCTGGGTCAGGTAGTCCGCAAGGAAGCCACCATTCTCCTTCTGCAAGTCCACAAGGTAGCCAACGTTCCCAGCAATCAGGGAGCGCAAGATCACGTCGATCGGGGAGTGCAAGATCTCAGAGATCTGCTAGTGATGCATCCAAAAGATCAGGCAGTGCAAGTTCTCAAAAGTCTGGAAGTGGTCGTTCACAGAGGTCTGGTAGTGCTTCTTCTAAAGGTTCAGTGAGCCCTGCATCACGGAAATCACAATCACGAACCTCGAGATCTAGATCAAGATCACAGAGCAGTGCAGCTTCAAGATCTCGTTCAGGCTCGCCTGTCGGTAGAAAGAAAAAATCAAGTGAGGAAATTTTCTGTTATTTAATTTATATTAAATGTTATTGTTCAAGAAATAACTATTGCTGATATATTTAATATGTTTTTCTAAGTTAAGCATTGAAAATATGTATGACTAATTGTTGCTTAAAGTACAATTAATTTAATTGAATAATATTTTATAAAATTTAGTTTTAATTATTAATCACCTGTAAAATAAATTGATTAAAAATATTCCAGTGACTTGCAGAAGAATTGTATGGTTAGATACATAATTAGTGAAATTAACTTTAACTTTTTTTAAATATAATTTTTAACTATTGATGCAATTGTTGCGTGGGTAATCTGCTATATTTTGATTAAATAATTATTGTTGGGTGGAATTTAATTGTGTTTCTTTTGTTATACTTGAAAATAGATGAGTTGGGGTCTGACAAATCAGACAATGAAGAAAGTGAAACTGTTCAACGAAAGAGAGTTTTGTCTGATAGTGAAGGAAGTTCAAATGCTGGAAGGTAAATTTTTTGTTATATGATGAAGGTTACCATGCTGATCCATACAGTCAATCCCGATTACTTGGATTGTTAGATTATAAATTTTGTTCTCCAAAAATCTAATAATTTGTAGAATGTTTTGTGTTACTTCAAAACATTTTTTCTATTAATGAATATAAATTATAAAAAATATTACTTCTATCGTTTAAATTACTTTGCCTAAGCATTTCAAAACAGGTTTTAATGGTTCTCTTGAATATTTCTGTTTTTGAATTATTTATTAATAACTGGTTTATTTATGATACTATATGAAAATCTAATGTTCCTCTGATACTAATGTGCATGTGTCACTCCATTTGGTAAGTACCACAAGATCTCACAATCACACCATAAATGGAATCCCGAGAATGGTCGAATGTGTCTGAAAGTAGACAGAAGTGACACTTGACAATGGTATTCGCCATTATTATTTATTTAATTGAATACCTGATGGTTGACCGTTGTATATTTTAGAGAAAGGAGATTGTCTGGGGTGGAGGTCATAAAAATATTAAAATCGGGGAAATACTATATACAATGAACTAAATACATGATTCAAAGAATTTAATAATTATCTGTGAAGGTATGATTTCAGATGGACTGTTTTGAGAATTATTGCCATGAAATATTATAACATTAGGATTGGGAATTACGACTTAGCTATTATGGTATGTGAAGTGGTATAGTTAGTAGATTTCATCACTGCTTCTGCTGATCCGAGGTCATCTCGTCAAGCCCAGTTCCAAAAACTGTCAGAAGGCCCATCTTCACGGTCTATGTAGGGCCAAAGGCTTCAGTCCCCAAGCCAGAAGAAAACATAAGACCTATCCTCAAGGCCGAAAATCAACATAAGGCCTCTTTCCTTACTTCTCGGCAGATTTTATAGAAATATTGAGGGTGGTGCAAGGATGGTTTTCATTGGTTCTTAATTTCACCCTGTTACTTCCCAATAACTTCCTAAAAGGAACCAGTTACTTAGCCCGTTACTAGTTTTTAGTTACTCTGAGCCTTCCAAAGGGTCCAGGTATAGGTCGGTCCTTATCTTATCTACTTGTTCTCCCCCTTGAGGCTGTTTTTGATGTCAGAAGTCGGTTTCATTCAACTTTGTCTTCCTCAGCCCATATTAAATTTTAAAAAACTTATGTCTGATACATAGCAATATCTAATCCCTCCAATTATATATGCTTCATTAATTTTTACAACCTATTATATCTAAAGTTAGCCACCCCCCCCCTTATCCCAAAGCAGGGAGAATAAGACCTGAACGCTGAAATAGATCAGAAAGGGGTGTTCATTGTGGATGTTGAAAATGAATTTAATTTGAGAGACCTATCAAGGAGTTGGCTTCTGGGTATAGAGTCTTTTGTACAGATCTATATGAAGCCAAATCTTGAAGACTGCTGCTGGAGTATATCTGGATCCAGTAGTATGTGTTGGCATCTCTGCTATCTCTTCCTGAGCCACTTCTTGAGTTTTGGTTCTAACTAGACGTACTTGCTGTATTCTGGATCATAGAGACCATTTTTCTTCCTCTGACTGCACTTTGATCACTCCCGTTCACGTATCCGAGGTAGAACTAGTAGGAATCTCTGTTGTCGTTCTCTTAATAGTGTTATCATTCACAACTTGATGATCATCTGTTGTAGAAAATCTAAAAATACTTATCAATGTAAATTCAATACATAGGCATAGCCATAGTATATATTGGTAATAATAAATGAGGATATTCAAGATCCACAAGGCATTGTGTATCATTAATGAGACTTTACTCTTAAGTTTTGCTTGTAAAAAAGAAATTAAGGTTTATGATTTCCTTGTTTGTCATTCTTTTCTTTTCTTCTTCTTCTTTTTTTTTTTGGAAGAGAAAAACATATAGTAGAAAATATGAAAAAGAATTAAATTTATTATTTTTGTTTTAATGTATTCCATTTATTTTCAGTGGTAAAGAAGAAAAATCCCATGAAAAGAAAAAATCCAAAGTTTTGGATTCTGATAGTGATGATAGTGGATCGGAGCCAAAAAAATCAGGTGTGTATTTCTAAAATTAAAATTGCTAGCAATAATTAACGTCAAGTTCTAATTTAAATTATTCTCATTTGGATGGGTAGATGTATTTAATTTTTATATGATATGGTTAACTTATTCAGGGCATCCATCAGACATGAAGAAATACTTTTTTTTTTTTTATTTCTTAAAGACATTTGCAACTGTATTAACTAAATACATCTAGTAAATTAGAACATAATGTATAAAATGACATGAAAAACACTTGCTGAGTAACTACCCAATGGTAGCACTCTAATGATATGTTTACATTAGGAGATCACGGGGCCATCTTCTTTTCAGACGCCTCGGTAAGAAATACTGAAGGAATTTTATGAAAAACACCAGTAGCCCTTTTATCAATGTATAAAAAAAAAAAAAGAAAGTTTATGTTAATATGCAAGATTTGTTTATGTTAATATTCTAAGACTCTGATAAGAGAGGCAGACCAGATCGGCCTACAAGTAAATGAAGACAAAACAAAATATATGTAATAAGCCGAAAATTCCATCCCAATAACAGGATCTGCGTAGAAGGAAAATCATTCCCGAGAGTAGGAAAATTCAAATACCTCGGCTCCACAATAACCTCAATAAATGGGCAGAAATAGACCAGCGTATAACTAGCACAAACAGAGCTTTCTTCTCCCTTTCAAAGGTACTGAAAATCTGAAAAATCTCGAGAAATTTCAAATTAAGGGTGTTGAATGTTATGATAAAACCAGTTCTAATATATCCCTGTGAGACATGGACACTAACCAGCACCCTATGAAAAAGTGTTGAAAGATTTTAAGAGAAAAATCCTCCGCACGATAACCGGGCCAATATGGGCACAGAGTAGTAACACATGGAGAAGAAAGACCAATAAATAACTGCTTACAAAAACTGGTCAAGCAATATCCTATGATATGAAGGCATGGAGTTTAAGATGGGCGGGGCTTGTAGCTCGTAGCAATCTCTCATGTAGCTCATCTGAAAGCCTCTACTTTACAATGAATGCATTAATAGAAGGCAAAAGACCACGTGGAAGACCAAAAAGCAGATGGATAGGTAAAATAAACAAAGATGCAATAGAGCTGCGTGCTGATAAATGTAAAGAAATATCCCAAGACAGGCAGAGATGGAGCAGCCTTGTTAAGGCGGCAAAAGATCTACAAGGTCTATGATAATAATAGAACAAAAAATAAAATTAAAATGCAATATAAGAAAAGTAATAAAATTCTATAAACATAAAAGTGAAATAATAATAAGAATGGAAGATAATCAATTCTAAAAACCTGTAAAAGTCTTCATTATCCAAAAGTTTTATTTTAGAAAACCAGAGAAAATTTAAATTGCTTATTAAAAAGTAAAAATTAAAGAAAATCAAAATCAAATTACGTTCAATTGGTAGACTATGTAATTAATTATACTTGAATTAAGAAAAACAACACTTCTTTTTACAGTCTCATTTATTTTATCTTTTGGAGCTTTCAATGTTCTGCACCATATTTTGTACCATATATTTTACACCATAATGTAATTGGGCAGCACCATTTTATGATAATAAAGTGATTCTCTCTCTCTCTTCAACGCTCCGTTTTTGAATTTCTTTCTTTAAATAAATTTTTTCAATCATTGCAGATGTGATCATTGCAGATTGTGTCTTAATGTTAAAAAAAAAATGTTTTTGTGCTTTTCCATTATAGGAGGAGAGAGGACCCCTATTGTACCTCACGTTCTCATTTACGGTCGTATTCTGAAAATAAATGAGACTGTAAAAATAAGGGTGTTGTTTTTTCTTACTTCAAAAATTGAATTGTTAATAATAACCGAAATCTATAAAACTTAATTAAATTCTTAATTAATTATAAATTAAGAAAGAAAAAAAAACTTATTTGTTTCTAACAATGGGGACATCTCAACCACTTATGGGTCATTTTAGCCCTTACACAATATTTATATAGCCCAAAATAAAATTTAACAATAATATTCCGTGGTACAGACCCCTTTTTATGAAATTATTAACATCCGTCTAAAATTTTGTGAGTAGCTTCATCTCATCGTAACCTGCAACTTTTTTATTTACAAAAATTCCTTGAATTGGGGCTTTTAAATCTGGAGATCGGCAAAACTTGGTCTATCTAAATAGGTACTAAAGGCTCATGAATTTCCATTTTAATCGTAAGATAATATGATCACAAAATTCAGAAAAAGGGTGGCTTACAGAAATATTGAGCCGTTTGGTGTGACCTCCACGCCCAACATGTCAAAATAACGTGGTTATATCAGCCAAACTGCCCAATATTTTTGTAGCCCAACTTTTTATCGATTTTATGATCAAATTATCTTACTATTCAAGTGGAAAGTAAATTGATATTTATGAGTTTTTAGTAACTCATTAAATAAAATAATTTCATGGGAAAATGTCCTATTTCTGAGAATTTTTGTATTTTCTGAGAAACTAGATTATGATAAGATGAAGCCGCAATACACAAAGTTTTAGACAGATGTTAATAATTTGATTAAAAGGGGTCTGTACCACGGACTATAAACTTGAAGGTATAAAACATTAAAATTAACTAAGATATTAAATTAGAAAAAAATGAGCCAATATTTCTCAGTCATATTGTTTAAATATGATTTAATTTTGACATGTTCACATGTGTGAAGCCTTCCTTATAAACATTTAATTTTATGAGGAGTTGGCCGGGGATGCGATGAAATCAATACTATAAACCAGAATAGTATTTTATTAGTTATGCCAGTAATTTTAGTTTATAGTATTTATTTGACTGCACTCCCCTCCCCTCGACCAACTTCTTCTCATATCATAACCATCTCTACACCATTTAATTTTATGTTTTAGTTTATTTAATTAATATTTTTTCTCATCAAGTATGTATTGGCTTTTGATATTAACAGTGTACTGAAATAAAACTATGGAAAAAAAAATTTATATTATTTTTTAACATCTCTCAGGGTGGTGAGTGGTAATTAACACTGGTTGAAAGTGTTTCAGTAATTTTAACTCGGGATTAATATATTTTACTTGATCTTGTTTGGTTTGTTTTGAAGATGTGAAAATTTAAATAAATAATTTACAGCTACTGCTGAGGCATTGTTTGGGGATGCTGATGATATCAGTTCTGAAGAAGAAGCAGAAGAAAAGAAGGATAAATCAAGCGATGGTGAAGAAGAAGAGCCTAAAGGGTCAGAAGATGAAAAAGCAAGGAGTGAAGAAGAGAAAGACGAAGGCGAAAAGGTTAAATGTTTTTGTTATTTATTTTATTTTTTTAATTAATATTAATGAATAGTACCTAGTCCTGTCATAAATATTGTTACAAGGAAATATATACAGATTTCAACAGAAAAATTGTATTTTAATAGTAATTTTTTCAAAAACTTTATTACTCAAAATGTCCCCCTTTTGCCTTGACACAGGCATTTAATCTCCATGGTCAGTCATCAATAGCAGCACACAGCTCTTCTTGAGGAAAGCGCTCAACTGCTCGGACCAGAGATTGTTTGAGGCTTTCCAAGTTAGGGTGTGCTCTGTGGCATGCCATCCTCTCCAGTTCTGACGAAAGCTGATAATCTAGTGGGTTGAGATCAGGGCTTCCTGAGGGCCTATCCGAGGCAGAGATGAACTTTGGAATATTCATTTGCAGGCACTGCTGAGTTAACCTGGTCTTCTGAGCTGGAGAAGAATCCCGCTGGAAAACTCAATGACTTCTAGAAAACAGAGTATCATTTAGAGGTTTTACAACAGCTTCTGATAGTTTGTAGCAGCTGTTTTAACTCCTTTTTCACAAAAATAGAGCTTTGTGGTGCCATCAAAACAAACCATCACTGAGGAAGGGTGATAACCTCTTTCCACTCTTCCAATGACTTCCTGGAGTTCTTTAGAGCTTTGTGCATGATCATTTTGGCGATTAAATTTTTCTTCAATTGTAAAAATTTTCTTATCTAAACAAAATTTTTCAATGAAGACCATTGGTGTAATGGACAAGGAGCACTTTGCATCTACCCACTCTAATTTTTTTTAGGGAAGTGGTTAGCCTTTGTCCTGTCATTCTTCGAAATGTACCCATCCTAAGGTCACTTTTTATCATTTGAGACATTGATCTGTTGTTTTCGAATGGGATTTCTTCTGATTAGAGCAGCCACCGCTCTCACTACATTTGATGTTCTCTCAATGCGGGGATGAAACTGTCGAGATCTGTCACATACAGATAGGGTCTCATTATATCTATTTATAGTGCGGTACACGAACCTATGGTTCATACCCAAAAGTTTCAAAATGTTAAAAATCTCTGACCTACATATTCCAACTTTGTGTTAATCGATCACAGCTATTTGATTTTCTTTACCACCCTACTACATGTTAACTGAGCAAAAGAAAAATACAAACTAATTGGGGTTATTATTTTGACATGTAAAGAAAATAACCTGATAGAGGTAAGGATTATCTAAATAATACTTAAGGATGTAAACAAAGTTCAACTTTTGTAACAGTATTTATGGCAGAACTAGGTATAAGTCTCTTATGGGGTTGCTATGAATGTTTCCTTAACTACTCCTTTGATGATTAATTTTAGTTTGTTTTATATCGAAAAAAAAAAATTCAAAAAACAAAATAACAACAAAGCTTATAAAAGCCAAAAAATAAACAAAAACAAATGTTGCTGAAAATTTTTAATATTAATCACTTTCAAGATTTTTGATAAACCAAATTCACCATCATCTGTAGAATAGAATATATTATTTCTAAATCAGAAAACCAATAGGTAGAGTCCGTCTGAGATAAGTTTGCCAGTGGTTAAAGGGGGAGAGAGGTGCGCAGTGAAAAAATATTTTGCCGTCGATTCTCCACTCTTTTGTCTTCTCTACTCATTCGTACATAATTCTACAATTTTTTCTCCAAGTATAAATTTCTTACATAATTTTCTTTTTTTTATTTTGCCAATTTTTGTTTAGTTGTAAACTGGGCAGAGGGAAAACTATCCACTCTCAGACCAAAAACATAATTTTGAACGCATATAAATTCATGATAGAGTTTTGGGGAGATGGAGCTTGCTTAGGGAGGGCTGCGCGAGCTCCCTTCCCTTTCGAAGCAAACTCGTCTTAGATGAACTATACTAGTTTGTTTATTTGGTTTAAACTCCGTGATGTACTCCAACTCCTACAAGGATTTTGTACTATCCTACTCGTAACCATATTGGAAGGGCTGAGATCTATTTTGTGGGCCAATAGGTGCTTATCAATACTCTATATTTATGTGGTTAAACAAAACAATCGGTTCATATTTCTATTAATATCTATTTCTATTTTATGGGCTGCCAATGATGTTCAATTTGATAATTATACAATATTAATGGCAAATATTCTATAGGAAGAGGAAGTAGAGAAAGAAGAAGAGATACCTGAAACAAGAATCGACGTTGAAATTCCTAGGATAATGTGCGACGTTGGGAAAGACATTCACTTTGTCAAGCTACCTAACTTTCTTTCCGTTGATCCAAGGCCATTTAGTGCTGAAACCTATGAAGATGAAATCGATGAAGAAGAAACGCTTGATGAGGAAGGGCGAGCAAGGTAGGCTTATAAATATTTTATTAATTTAATTTGTTTCTGCCAATTTTGACCTTATATACAATCAAATAAGGTTTCATCGTCAGTATAAATTTTTTAATTTGTTGTTAAAAATGTCTTTTATAAATATTCAGATTAAAATTTTATCAAGAAGGTTGATCAATATTATTTTTAAATTCAAATTTAAGAAGTAATAAGTATTCTTTAACAATTCTCCACTTATCCCAATTGAACAAATCCGTTACCTAGGACTCCACCTCGACAAACGACTCACATGGAATCCGCATACAAGACTGAAACGACAAGAAACCGCTCGATGTTTCTGACTACTCCAACACTTACTAGACAAACGCTCTAAGATTTCACTCAATTACAAACGACTCATATATAGGACAATAATAAGACCTATTTGGACTTACGGAATTGAGCTCCGGAGCTCCACTAAACCATCGAATTCCTCTCATATCCAATCCTTCATAAAATCCTCAACGCTCCTTACTTTGTCACAAACAAAATCATCCACAAAGATCTTAATGTTCCATATGTTTCCGATTTGGCCCAATCCAGATACCTATACTTCCATAACAAACTGCAGAACCATCCGAACCCTCTTGTTTCAAACCTTGCTTCCTCCTCGATCCCTGATAACCCTCCGAGGCGTCTGAAAAGAAGATGGCCTCGGGATCTTCTAATATAGAACTTTAATTTAAGTTCTACCAATGGGTAGTTTCTCTTCATGTTTTACATGTCATGTTGCCAATGTCACATTTACTTGTCGTGTTTTTAATGTAATACAGTTGTAAATTTCATTAAAAAAAAAAAAATAAGTAATAAAATTCAAAACAACTCATTTTAAAAATCCAATTTTTGTGAAAATAGAGCACATGTTGAATTTGACGCAATATTGTATTGCACTGGGTATTTATGTTTTATTTCCCTTTACATGGGTTGACTAAAAGATTTTGTTTCTTTGACCCTAAGGAAAGATAAAGGAATATTCTGGCACACCTCCTCCTCTAATATTGTCATTTCTTTATTGAATATATATTACCACTTATTTAATTTGACAAAATTATATCCTAAAAGTTTTGAGTTTATCTTAATTAGAGTGGTATTCCACTTTCTTTAGAATAACAATGGCTCAAATCGTGTTGTCATCCGTCTTCCAACTCTTTTGATGGTTTCATTGAATTTTAATTACTTTTTGTAGATTGAAATTGAAAGTTGAAAATACTATACGGTGGCGTGAAGGTTTGGATAAAGAAGGGAACACTATAAAAGAAAGTAACGCCCGGATGGTTAGATGGTCAGATGGAAGCATATCTCTCCATCTTGGAAGTGAAATTTTCGATGTATATAAGCAGCCATTACAGGTAAGTTGTTTACTTTTGGTATAGCTTTTAGTTTTATTTTTCTGACTTTTAGTAATCGAACCACATTGTACTCATACCATTCTATTCTGTCCTTAGGGAGATCATAACCACTTGTTCATTCGGCAAGGTACCGGTCTACAAGGACAAGCCGTCTTCAGGACTAAATTAACGTTTAGGCCTCATTCAACTGAATCGTTCACTCACAGAAAGATGACTTTGTCATTGGCCGACAGGAGTCAGAAGTCTGCAGGAATCAAGGTCCTGTCGCAAGTCGGTCATGATCCGGATCAACATAGGGGAGAGATGATTAAGGTCAGTACAGTATAATATATTCAAATTAGTCAAGTGTATTAGTGTAAGCAAAGTGCAGTTATATAAAAAATAAAGCTCTCTTGGAGAAAATTTTATATGATATGGAAATTTAGGTGAAGAAGTATTGCTGTAAATAATATGTTGGTAGAATATCTCTTTATATTTCATGTTTATTTTAGTTGCTAAAAGTGTTAGTCGAATTATTAACATCCACTTAAAACTTACTGAATGTCTTCATCATATCCTAACCTTCAAATTTTTTATCTATGAAAATTCCCAATAATGGGACATTTTCTCATTAAATTAATTAATTTTATTAGGTAATAAAAACTCATAAATACCCATTTGTACTATATAGACTCGTTATTGAAGGAAGTTAGTCGACTGTTCTACATATCATGGGTGATAAATATTCAGGACGCAATCTTTTTTAAATTTTTTTTATTTTTGCCAACGTTTCAACCCAAACATGTGGGTCATCTTCAGGGCTGAAAATGTTTTTTAAAATTACAATCAGAGATATAATAGTATACGACTGCTAATTATAAATAATAAACTATAGTGATTGATGGCACATGAATCTTAACTAATATTGTAATACACATAGTAAAATTAAATATTAAAATAGTTATACAAACTAAAAATAAAAAATAAAAAAATAATGTATATAATCCATTTATATAAATTTGTAATATTTTCTCTTACTAACCGTGGTTTGAGCACTGAGGGTGTTCAAGTACTGACACATGTTTGGTAGGTAAGTAAAAAGATCAGGGGTGGAGGATTTCCCAGTGGTCCTTTTTCAGATAGCAAAAGGTAAGTAAACATAGTTAGAGGGGAAAGGGAGTAACATTTATAATTAATATACATAATTTGCTGACAAATATTTCAGAAGTGTACAAAATTTCAGTTATTACATATGGTTACAGATATTCATTACTAGTCAATAGTCACATTTCTGTAACCATATGAAATAACTGAAATATTGTACACGTCTGAAATATTTGTCAGCAAATTATGTATATTAATTATAAATGTTACTCCCTTTCCCCTCTAACTATGTTTACCTACCTTTTGCTATCTGAAATAGGACAACTGAGAAATCCTCCACCCCTGACCTTTTTACTTACCTACCAAACATGTGTCAGTACTTGAACACCCTCAGTGCTCAAACCACGGTTAGTAAGAGAAAATATTACAAATTTATATAAATGGATTATATACATTATTTTTTATTTTGACTATGAGTTTTATTTTTTATTTTCTTAGAGGCCTGGTATTTTCTGAGTTGCTGCTGAGCGACTTTTTTGTTATTTAATTGCATTTTATAATTTTTTTTTTAGGTTTGAAAATCACTTATGTTTTATCAGTAAGGTTTAAAATGTTTTTATTTTTCTATTTTTAATATTTTATTCTTACATTTTATAAATTAATTTTAGTTTTAAAAATTTGAAATTTCACATTGTTCTTCATTGTTTGCAGAAAGAAGAAGAGAAATTAAGGGCAACTTTAAGGAGAGAGAGTAAAGTGAAACGAACACGTGAGAGGGGAGCAAGTAGGCAGTTGAATAGTTCTTACATCGAACCGGATAGAGAAGACGGATCCGACGACGATGGCGCTATTTCACTTAACGCTATTAAAAACAAATACAATAAAGCAAATAGTAAGTATAATAAGCTAAAACAGTTAAGTAGGAAAATACATCCCTTTGATTTCAGTTTTTATCTTATCACACATTTTTCTCAAAAGATATAATTTTGATTTCTGCAACATGACTTTAATTAGTCAAATTGCAGTTAAAATTCATATTTTTTTGGTTACTACTTCACTAGCAGGCCGGGTCGAAACCTCACTTCTTATCTATGTTATCTAACGTCACGTCACATAACCTCCCTCTTCTTATCCTGCCAAACCTTTCAGTTATTACATTATTTATTTTTCACTTATTCTCTTATTAAGTTCACTTTTTTTAGTGTTTTTTTATTATTTAATTTTGATCTTTTATATATTATACGATTATGGGACTCAGCTAAGTGGAGAAATAATATACATAAGGGAACTGCCAGTCAACACCTCAATTCATATCTATGCGAATTTTTGTAGTGGCGGGTTCACAAAGAAGAGGATCTATTTCTCGCTATTTTAAATAGCATAAAACTATTTTGCCTACCAAAATAAATAAGACCAAGTGAAAATAAATTGTACATATGTCGTTTATACCGCTGATATTTTTTCTTTTATATCTACATATCTTCTTTAAGTGTTTTTTTATTATTTCATTAATATATGTGTCATAAAATAAAAGTTTTTTTTGTTATCACATTTATTTTTGTTTCTGTTTACACTTTCAATAATACGAATATAATACAATAATACGAAGATAGGAATTACGAGAAGGCTTATCACTGCGTTATCGGAATTATCAGTGTTGAGGTTAAAAACGTTGGCAGATAGCAGTCAGTCACGGCCTCCTAGTGAAGAAGTACCTTTTTTTGTTTAATCATATATATATTTTTATTTTGTTCTTTCATGAGTAATTATTGATATCTAAATATCTTTATATTTAACCCATAATTTTTTTTATTTTTTTTTATGTTTTTGTCATTTGGAATTAAATAACTTGTTTCAGCTGAAAGAAAGCAGAACATTTATTCATCGGATGATGAAGGCTCTGATTTAGAAGCTAGAAGACCGAGGAGAATTGATAAAATGAAAGCATTGAAAGATTCTGATGACGAAGATGGAGAAGGAGGGTCGGAGCATGGAAGCGATGCTTCGGACATGTCATAAATGACTAATTTATATATCGTCAAATTTTAGTTATTTAGATTATGTTAATTTGTCCGAAGAAAAAAAAAAAAAAATTATGTTTTATATTTAGATTCCATGTGAACATCATTGTATATTCATTATTATTATTATTATTTTAGACAAATTTTTAATTTAATTGTTAATGTAATTGTGTATATTTTCACCTTGATGTGTATATACATGCAGTAATTACATGACTTTTATTTATTAAAATGTCTTGTATTTATTTTTCTGAACGGATAACAGTCTCAACTGTTGGACTTATTTTTATAATTGCTTTAAATATAATTCTTATATTTGTTATTTTTTGTTTTTATCATTCTCATATACATCGGTGGAGTTAAAGAACTTAATATTTTATATTAAATACATGATAAAGATAAAATGATTTATAGACAGTGGTACAGAAAGGTTTTGACATTAAGACTCGATCAATTAGTCAAGGTCTCAACATTTTTATTGTTTGTTTAAATATAAATCTGCCAGTCCTTAAGTTGAAGAATTTATTGTTAGACCCAACAAATGTAGCAATTATAATGTGGCATATTACATAGCAGATTTGGACCTAATGCCTGTCAAGGTCTTGTTTCCATTTATGGCTAGAAAAAAACAAAAAAGAATCACACTTAAAGAACAAAAAGCAATAAACAAACTGTATTCATATAAGGGAACCTGGAAAACCAGGGGGAATAGAAAAGATATGGATTTTAATCTATGAGAGCAAGTCAAAAAGTTAAGGGAAATTTAGTTTTCCCTCTATGTCTAAAACAAGTTAAGTAATTTCTTAAATTAATTTTTACTGTTTATAATCAGCTTTTTAATGAGAAGGAGTTAATTGGGGGGTGCGCTCAAATAAATACTAAATTAAAATATAGTAATTATTTAATTTTTTGCCGACGTTTCGACCCACTTTGCAGCTCATCTTCAGGGCTACAAATTAAAACTAAACAACAATACTTATTCAATTTTCAATCTATTTATTCGTCAACATTCATTTTCTTTATCTGTTAACCCACAGTTATCTAATGTAATCTCTTTTAGTTTGTTATACACTTATTCCTTATCTTTTATCACAATCTGTTTACTTTTAACTTACATGCTATATTCTCCTTTATTTTTATTCATACTTATTTTCAATTTGTTTGTATCTTCTACATATATAATACTTAATATTTTAACTACATTGTCACCCACTGATATCTTTTTATTTCTGTATCTGACAACTTTTTCTTATTTTATATCTATTTATATTTATTTTTATTTTCAACATGTTTTGTATCTTTTGTAGCCCTGAAGACTACCTGCAAAGTGGGTCAAAACGTCGGCAAAAAATTAAATAATTACTATATTTTAATTTAGTATTTATTTGACCGCATCCCCCCAATTAACTCCTTCTCATATTATATCAACGGTCAACCATCTCTACATCAGCTTTTTATATAATTTATTTTTCACTAATTACTAGTTTTACTCTTTCTAATTTTATAGAATTGATTGATCTGTAAAAAATAAAACTAGTGTGCCTGATATGAGACTAAAGGATTTAAGCACAAATATACGTAGGGTAAATGCAGCAATAGCTGACATGCTTAAGGGAATTTCTTTGAGGTTTTACATGTAAAAACTTAAATATTGATGTTATTATATTTTTTATGGATACATCTTATAAAACTATTTCTCACCTTAAGAAGACATATTTCAAATCCATGAAAGATTTATCTAAATTTAAAAAAAAAATTGTAATTTAAGAGAATAGTTTTGTTGTACCAGCAGCTGACACTGTTTGATTTGAAATGTTCCTACAGCTGACAGAGATGAGAAAAAGGATGTAATTGTGAGAAATTTCATATTATTCATTTGAAGATTTAAAAAAATTACTTTTAACTTATTATGAAATTAATTTCTTGTTTTTCCCTTCTTAAATTTATCAATAAATGCTGGTCACTGTCAAGAACCTCTGTTTTTGGTAACAGGAGAACCAATTTTTGCTATATATTTAATTCGACTCATTACCAATTTTTTTTAATAAGACTGTAGTGATTGGTCCCATTTTAAGACACATTATTATAATTGAGTGTATCTCTTTGAATTTATGAGAGTACAGGCCTGTCAACTACTGGCAAAAGTCCCCATTATAAGGCTCTAGTAGCTGGCACCCACTAAATCCAAAAAAACATACAAAAATTTTGAGATAAATCGCAGTAATTAAACAGATAAAGGTAAACCTGAGGCACAGCGCTCTTACTGACAGATGGTTCTTCCATCTATGGGACTGTGAGGGACCTTCTTAGTTTGCAACTCATTATTTTGGTTGCGATTTCTGGCAAGACTAAAGCAAAGCAGGCAAATGAACAAGGAGAAAATATATGAAACTAGTAGGACTACGAAAAATTCGCACAGCATATTGTTATCAAATGCCAAATTAATAAGAAACGAAAATAATGCAACATATCAAAAGATAAAGGAATCAATTGTTACTTTATCGATAAATATAATCGACTAAGGAAACAAAATTAATTTAAATCTTCATTTTTGTTTGGAACCAACATATTTACAAATTTCAATAAGCTGTATCTTTGCGAAAAATTGTCATATTTCAATGATTTTTTTTCCTTTGTAGGCAATTTAGTAATGTTTTATATATGGGAATAACCAAGGGAAAAGTGTGTAATTTTTCAGTTATTCGCAAATAAAGTTTATTTTCTTTCATAACTTGTTTGCCTGAATTTTCGGGATGATTGGACTATTTTGTCCGCCTGAAGGAGAAGAAAGAATTCGAAATTGGTGGTTCAATATTGAGATTTGGTGAAGAATTAACAATGATATGGCTTGCCGATCAAAAACACCATCTATAAATAATATAAACTCCTCCTGTCTCGATCATAGAGACCTCAAGTCGACGAAATGAGACGTGTATCCAATGACAGTACTACAATTAACGTCAGGTTGTATGGATGCGAACCCCATGCCTTGCGTTATCTCGAAAATAGTACGTTTTTGGGCTTAAAATCACAGGATCCGATAGTTCCGGAGGAACTATCCGGGTCTGGCTGTACGCATCAAAATCTTCAAGGTCCAATTTGACCCGCATCGATCTACAGACCTACCACCGTTCCAGTATTGAAGCCTAGCAAAATGTTTTTATCGACTTTATTTATTTTAGAAAGAAAAAACAAAAGTGGAGAATACGATTCGCTAACTCCCCGTGATATTCTGAATCCAACGGTACCCCATTCATGGTATTTGAGCATGACAGGAGCTTATATTTGGTACAAAACCGATTTCGAGCCTTACTGTAATAATATATGTGGGGATAGAGGTATAGAAGGTACTGAAATTATATTATTCCCATTTTTTGAGGAGGATGTCAGGATATTGGTACGCTGTCAGCTATTGATAGTTTTAACCTAATTTAAACTGTAATGAAGAACTTTTATTTTACTTCTTCCCTTTAACTTTTTTTTTTTATGAAATAATACATTCTGCCAAATTCATAGGCAGAAAATATGAGCTATATGTGGCTCATTCATTTTTTATTTACAGAAAAAATAAGTAACTAGAACAAAAATTATTTAAATTAAAACAGAAAAAAAGAGTATTCGTTTTTTTTAAATCTTGTAATAAATATAGTTTATTCCTAAGATTAAAAAAAAAAAAGTTTTATAGATTTCTTTATTTTTCCCACTCAGTCGATGTAATAAAAAATTAAGATTATTCTCTCTAATGTTATGAAGACGTTTTACATTAACACAAAAAATATTTATTAAAAAAAAATTATGTTATAGTGGAAAATTGTAACAAAAACAAAGGTATAATAAATCATTCAGATTAAAGTGAAAAATTAGAATGAAATATAATAAATCATAAATCAAATTAATATTTGTATTTACCGTTCTAATTTAGGGTTTTTTGGTGGTTAAATTTATAAAATTGCATTTGCTTTATCACATTTATAATCTTTTTGTCATTAAATAAACGATTTTATTTTCAGTCTCAACTTCTTAATCATATCTTTTGCGCCATATAAGATATTATCTCATATGGGGAATAACCACTATCTTCTATTGAGAAATCCTGTTTGAAAATATCTGATTTATAACATTTTTGAAAAGACTTTTTTAAAAGAAATTATTCAATCATTTAAATTAAATCATTATTTTAAAAGTTTCAAAAGGCCTATTTACAGAGGTAATGTGAAAACTATTAGTTTAGTAAATGTTATATTAGGTCTAGCAAAAAGTATTATGTAAGAATGAATGAATATTTTTATTTGTTTTGGAGGAATGACCCATACAAATAGAGTTGGCCACAATAATAACAATGAGCACAATAAATTAATACAAAAACATTTACAACTTATATAAAAACTAAAATTCATTGGAATTCAGTGACAGCATCCTCTTCTGACAACAACCAAACACCTGTCTGAATGCTTGAATATAAACAATAAAATATAACATAATGTCCCATATAATAGAATAATAATAATATAACACAGTAAAACATAGTAAGTAATAAAATGATGAATAGTAATAAATAGTACATAAATATAGGTACAGTATACAAATATAAGTATATATAAATGTAATGTATCAATACTAAACAACAATTGATATAATATAGTATGATATCCATTCCATATAAATATGTTTCATTCATGAATAATAAATACGATAAACAGGACAAAATAAATAAATCTCAAAAGTTTTGGAAATAATTTTATGTACACAGGTTTGTAATGTCATTATTCATGGAAAATAAAGGACTTCAATCTGCAATATTTCCTCATGTAATAAAACAGGTTATTGATGAATACTTCATTGTCAGTTTTTAATAATTCTATATTATTCACCATTGATCAGTTTGCTAATTGTGAACTTTTGTTCTAAAGGTTTTTCTGTTTTGAATGTACTCTTTTGTAATTTCTGATAATTTGAGGCGCATTCCGACTTCACTAATGTATTTATTATTTATTGTATGCTAATTATTATATATGCATTAATTATAATATTTCTAAAGTTAAATTTGTGCAATAATTTGTTTCAGAAAAAAGTTAACTTGGGTATGGACAAATATGTCCAAAAAATTCTTATTGAGTTAATAAAATACTGAAATATTCAAAGATTTGATATTCTTTTTAAAGAATTATAAAAACTAATATACTATTTGATTAAAATATAAAATACAAAATTTTAACTTATTGTTAAATTATAACTTTTTTTTTTTTTTAAGGTTGTTATTAATATATTTAAATGCATTTATTCTGAAATATTCAGATTGAAAAGTGATTTTATTTTATCTAAAAAAATTATTAAAAAACACATTTGGAAAATAGATTAAAAATAATGTAAACTAAATATGATAAATATAAATATTATTTCGTGAAACAAATTAATATACATTGAATTAAAAAATATGTATATACATTTCCCTCCAATAACAACCAATATGGATGGTCACCTACTTTAATAATTTACACTCCATGTGATGAATCTAAAAGTACATTATATGCCATTACAAATTTTTAGATATTTTCATTGTAACAGTTTGTTAAAGTTAAATTTTGAAATAAAATTTATTATTATTTTGGATAAATACATTATTCTTAAACAGTAAGTACATTTTCTTGGTGTATTGTTACTATATACCTATTATGAATTTTAATATCAGGAAACAATAAAAATATAATATTTTTATTGAGAATAGTAATATGATATTAATAGTTTTTGTTGAACATCAAAATGATTCTACTTTATTTTGTTTCCAATCCTGAGTCAACTCAAATAAACTTTGTTTAGGTATTTGTTAACATAATGGTTCAAATACTTTTGAACTAGTTTGTTTTATGAATTGACTATCAGCTAGTTGGTGCAGTTGCCCCCTCTCTCTTCCAAACAAAATTTAAAATAAAATAGCAAGAAATATCTGAAAAATTGGTACAGACTAGTTGTCAATTTTTCAACATTTTAAAACAAACTAATATAATATGATTCTCCCCAAATTGAATTAACTGTCCTATCCTGCGTTACTGCTATATTTTTTTTAAAATTTCCATTTTAGTAAATCAGATTTTCCCTTTGTCCCACACAGAACAAACTTAAAAGTCCCTTACGCCCAAATATATATCTAATATTATATGTAACTACTCGTTTTTTGGATGTTTTACTTAAATTATTAAAATAAATAAATTAAACTGTGCTCAGAGTAGGATTTGATTGATATAAATTATTTCCCTTTTTTTCCATCACAACCTTAAAATTTCCCTAAAAAGGGAACTTTTTCACCAAAGAGGAAACCCTGACCCTGCTCTGTTAAATAAATACCTCCTTGTGGTTTTGAAGTGGCTAAATAATCTTTGTTATTATTATTAAGAAGACTCCTCAAATCTCAAATAGCAAAACATTAATTAAAAATACAAAATTGAACAGCTTTTACATTAATATTCTTGTTTTTACCCTTAAAATTAAAACTTTAAGTAAAAATAATAACAATAAATCCAAGGCTACATCCTTGGATTTATTGTTATTATTTTTACTTAAAGTTTTAATTTTAAGGGTAAAAACAAGAATATTAATGTAAAAGCTGTTCAATTTTGTATTTTTAATTAATGTTTTGCTATTTGAGATTTGAGGAGTCTTCTTAATTATTTGCTGTTATTAGAATTTGGATCTTCCCCCTCTTTTTTAATATCAATATCATCTATAGTAGAATTTATTTTATTTTAATTTGATAAAAATATAATCTCTTTCTTTAATAGAACAATAAATTTAAAAAAGGGCTATATTGTTATTTTTTAAAATATGTACAAATAAGTAAGTCAAATTATATGAAGTTTAATAAAATTTAGGAAATATTTTTAAATGATGACAATAGCAATTAAAAATAATCTTTGTTATTTTTGTTTAGAAGAAAATTACAGTCTCTTGTAGTAAATACTTTCATTCATTTCCTAAAGATGAATTGATGGGAGAAAACAAAATAAAATGAAAGTTACATGTTAAGTGTTTCTGTGAAACTTTTGAGGAAAAATGTTTTAAAATAAAAGTTCTAAGAAGCTTTTTATAATGAAGATTTTAGTTTATGGTAAAATTTTAATATTAATTTATTTAAGTTCTCAAAAAAATGGACTTATATTACAGTTACAATTTATCTTAAATGAATAACTCGATTCTTGATAAAAGAAATTTTTTAGATTGAATTTTTGTTGAAACGAATCATTTCAACAGAAACATTTGATAAAATATAAGTTAAAAATTTTTAAGTTAACAATTTTTTAAAATTTATATTCATGGATTTTATACTGGCTGAAATATTTATTGTTTTAATAAAGAAACTTCAACAATTAATTAAGATTTAATGGTAAATTTGAATAACAATCTAATCAGATTAATTAAGACAAATTGATTTTTTTTTTCATTATTTATATATATATAATTTTATAAACTTAAATTCATTGTGAAGTTTGGTTTTTTACTCTTCATAATTAATTTAATATTTAGCTACTTTTTACTACTATATTACCTAAGAGCATACTTGGGCAAAATGTGTTTTAAAATACAATATTTAAATACCATGTATTTTGTGTTTTTAAAATACAGTGTATTTTAATCACAAAGTATTTAAATTGTTTTCAGAAAACGTATTTTAATTACAGATAATAAAAACAAAATACTTTCTGGTTTACGATCAGCATATAATACAAGAAACCTACTCTACATGGTAATTTATTTTCTTTATTTAAAATTTTGAATTTTAGTATCTTAGAAATAAATTACAAACACTTTCTTTGTATTTTAAAAAGAAAGAACAATTTAGATTAGAAACAATTTATTATAAATCTTACTTATTAAAATGCAAAATAGAAAAAATATATTTTAAAATACTGCCCAGTCCCCTTCCAAGGAGGTAAATATAAGAGGAAGTAGGCACAACATTGAGCCAGTCAGTGACATGTGGTCCCAGAGTGTAGTTCTCTTGACTCTGCTTCTTCCAATTTTTTCTCAAGTTCTAAAAGATGAAGATTACAGATTGCCTTTGGATATTCATCCGATTTCATATAAACTAACCTTGAATCCGAATATAGAGAGTCTTACTTTTGTTGGAAACTTAACATTTACTTTTAGACCGCTGAAAGATACACAAACATTGATTTTGAATTCTAAAAATCTTTTGATAGGCATCGGTAATACTTTTATGAAAGATGACACAGGTACTGCAGGACAAATTAATCAGGTGATTGAAAATAAAGAATTAGAGAGGATTATCATCAGACCTTTAGGATATTTCATAAAAGGAATAATCTACACTATCAATTTCAATTATGAAGGAAATATAACTGAAGACGGTAGTGGCCTGTACAGATCTAGCTATGACGATAGTGGAAAAACAGAGTATGTATTTTTTTAATATTTTAATCTTGTAATGAATGTAGTTTATTGCCAAGGTTTTCAAAACAAAACACAATAATGATTTTAAATATTTGTTGATTTTTTCCCCATTTGGTGAATGTATTGTTATAAAACATTAAGTTTATTCTCTCTAATGTTATGAACACTTTTTATAAACATTAGATCCTGTTACTTTTTAATTTGTTTTGAATACTGAAGTAATAATTAAAATTGTAACAATTGACTTAGTTTCGATGACATTTTCCTAGTGAAAATGTATTCTGTAGTTTCAGAAAATTGCAAGCCCTTTGTTGTAGTCAGTTGTTTATTGTTGTTGTTTTAATCGATATAGCTCTTTACAGAAATTTAGGTTATTTAAATGTATTAATGAAATAATTATTCATTAATTTAATGGTAAAACAGAGAATTTGAAGTGTTTAGCATTGCAAAAATCTTTTGCATTTTGATAAAATTTAATCGATCACCCTTTTATTTTGTGTACACAATTCAAAAACCTAAAATCAAAGCTTCTAAGTTGTTATTTAATTGATTGAAATTATTCTAATTATTTTTAATGCAATTCAATTAATTTGTACATGCTAAGGCAATTGTTTTATCCATAATGCATGTTCTTAGGAATACAAGGCTGATGATTCCTCTGTGTGTCCCTTAGTATTTCCTTGACCTTAGCTTGACAGTAGTAATTATATTATTTGATAATGTTTTCTGTAAATATTGTATCAAGAAGGTCATTCAATTTATCAGTTTTTACTATTAAATAGAATAGAATAGTGTATTAAATAATTCGGATGATAATAATGGGAGAGATTTTTTAATTTAATTTTAATATTCCTCTATTATTAACTAATTGCATGCTGCAGCTATTATGATGTGCATGGGATTAGATAGCTTTTTTTTTTTTTTTATTCATTGTTAATAGGATATGTTTTGTGGATGAAAACAAATGGAACTCTCAAAAACAATTGCTGAGATATTTTATAGCGATAATGGTTTTAAAATAAAATTATAAGTATTTATTAGGAGTGGGATGGTTCAGTGGTATGGCACTGATCTTCCATTGCTCAAGGTCCTGGGTTTGAATCCCGGCTAATGGCAGAAAAATTATTTATTCTGTTTCATCAGCTGTGGGGTGACCTTGGGATCAGGAGACCCTCCTGGGGCACACCCAGCCTCTATGAAGTGGGTATTTTTAATTCAATAATTAATTAAGGGGAAAAACCTGGCAGTTGAGCGTGATCTTAGTCAAATCACCTCCTTGCACAAACGTTGACTAAGAAACAGTATTTTCCCTAAATAGAATTGAACCTAAGACCCTTCCTGGGTTGTAGTGGTATAGGTATAAATATTTATTATTTCTCAAATTTACAAACATAATAATGGTATTTAAAGGCGATCTACAATGGAAAGAAAAAAAAAATTGGATACATGAAAATAATTAATCAAACATGTTAATTATTCAAAATATTGATTTCTTCATAATCGAAATAAAATTTAATTAAAAAGAAATGTTTTTTGTTATTTTTATTTCAGGAACAATTACAATCTCTTGTATTAAATACTTTCATTCATTTCTTAAAGATGAATTCAAAGGAGCAAAAATTAAATGAATGAAATGATAGTTCCATGTTAACTGTTTCTATAAAACGTTTTAGGAAAAAATTATTTTAAAATAAAAGTCATATTAACGTTTTTGGTTATCGCAAAAATTTAACTTTTATTTATTTTAGTTCACAAAAAAAGTTATATTAAATGAAAAAAAATTGGGCTTACATTACAGATACAATTTATCTTAAATGAATAACTTGATTCTAGTGCATGGATTATAAATAAAAGAATGAATGTAATTTTTTAGGCTGAATTTTTGGTGAATTGAATTGCTTCAAAAAAACTAATATTTTTTTTTTTAAATAATAATAATTTCATAAACCATTACTTGGAAAGTTACAAGGAAAAACATTATAGTTCTGAAATAACAGAAAACATTTTTTGTTTATTTACTTAATGAAATTTACAACTGTATAAAAAATACAACTAATAAATATGCACAAATTAGAAATAATGACATGAACAGACTTGAAGAGATACTACCCAGTGGTAGCACTCCCTATTTAATTCTAGGTGAGATCATGAGGCTATCTTCTTTTCAGATGCCTAGGAGGAATTAAATTAAGGATGAAAAATACTCAGGATGTTTAGTTAAACAATTTGTTTATTGAGTTTATCGACATTTCGACTAAAGTATGTGGGTTCCTCATCCGGGCTAAAAATTAAAAAATACAAAATAACATTTGAAAAATATAAAAAGTAATTGAATTATTTATATTTATGATTTTTCTGATGTTATTTTGTATTTTTTCTAAGCTTTAGCCATGATGATAACTTACAAGTTTGTGACGAAATGTCAGGAAACTGAATCAATAATTTTCTGACAGCAAATCCTGATTTGGACGAATTTTTCATCCTAACAGCTTCAACATTCAACCATATACCCATCTCTACAGAAAAAAAAAAAAAAAAAAAATACAGATTCCAGTATCCGTCAAAATACAAGTCAAAATTTCATTTCAAGCTCTGTTTTCAATACATTTAAGAAAATACGTTTTTGTTTATTTTGTACTCAGTCGAACATTAAACTGCCCATTATTTTTTCCGATATAATAATTTTATCCTATGGCCTGTACTTTAGGTTGTTTATAAATTGTGATCATGTTGTTAGAGTATATTAATACGATTTTTTTTGCAATTGAGTTATAATGAAATAAAAAAATGTTCAGTTGTGAGTGCACCAGAAGCTACTGTTGTAAAATATTTATAATTATATAAAAACACTAGGAGTGTACGCCCTGACTGCCTGACTGCGGACCATTTTACAAATTATATTTGTAAAATTTTACAAATGGAAGATGTGTATGAAAGACAGAAATTGTTAAAGACGAGAACAGTTAAACACTTATGTCCTGAACAGTTAGAAAAAATCTTATCCGAATTAGGGCGCCATATCCGGAAACCCGCACGGCGGCTGTGTTTTGCGGGCATTATACCCTATATGTAAAATAAAATATTACACGGCCACTAAAACCTTTTTATATAATAGAGATATAAAATGATAACACTTTTTTTTGTCCTCCCCTTCTTTGCTTTTACTGATATACAGGTATTTTCCCAGACTAGAAGAGAGGTCGAGGGATCAATACCAAAGTTAAAAGCCTCCTGGCACCGGATCGCGAACTCTTTAATGATTTTATTATTGTTATGTAATTATTTGATCATGTCTTCAGTTTATTACGTTGCCAGGTTGAACCGTCAGAACTTCGATATGTAACGCTCGGGCGAAGTCAGTTGGAGTCGACTACTTGAAGTGTTTTTTCATATGGATTAAAATATCTCAGAAATTAAAAATCGGATCTGCATATAGTAAGTGAGGGAATTGTTCAGCATTTTATCCTCTCTGTAATGGACTATTATTCAAAATTGTATCTAAACGCGATGCCGTGTTAGCGACGCGAAAAGAAAAAAGTTGTTTCGAAAAGTAAATGATAACGAGTTTTATGGAAGATATGGATTAAAATATATAGATAGATAAATATTTTATTTGTTTTAAGGGGGTTCCCCATACGAATAGAGCATAGCTTGGCTATTGTACAATAGTATGTTCTATACTATACAATACAATAGTATAGTACAAATTTACATACATATAATTTAAATATATGGAGCGGGGTAGCTCAGTGGTAGGGTACTGAGCTTCCAATACAAAGGTCCCGAGTTCGAACCCCGGCTCATGGCAGAAAATTTAATTATCTGTTTCATTGGCCGTGGGGCGACCTTGGGTCAGGAGTCCCTCCTGGGGCTCACCCAGCCTCTATAAAGTGGGTACCTTTAATTAAATAATTAATTAAGGGGGAAAACCTGGCGGTTGAGCGTGATCTCGGTCAAATCACCTCCTTGCACAACCGTTGACCTAGAAACAGTGCTTTCCCTAAATAGTACTTGAACCCCAGACCCTTCATGGGTTGTAGTGGTACAGGTTAATTTAAATATAAATAAAAATTTACAATATTTAACGTTTAGAATGGGTTTCACAAAACATGAATGACGATAAAAATTAAAAATATAAAACGATTACTGCATAATAATAATTATATGAACCAGTTACTATGATAGAAACAATAAAAAATAAAAATATTTATAAATATAAACAAAATATTACTCTTAAGATAAACTAAAAAAAAACGCTTAATAGAACATGGCCATGATCAACAATTTTCTATATATACTTTGTGTACTCCCATCATATAATAGTAAATTTTATTTAACTTATCTATACAATCGATATTCAGTATGGAGTCGACGTTGCGGTTATCAGAAGATTTTGAGATGAAGTTTTGAAGGAATTTTTTTCTAAAGTCATTGTATGCTGGGCAGTGAAGGAGAATGTGATGTAGATAATTATAGATAAATTGACTGCATGAAATACAGATTTCTTGAGACTCAATCGAAAATGTTCTGTTTTTTGCATAGATTCTGATATGTTCTGGGTTTGCAACTCTTAATTGACTAATACATCTCAATTTCTTTATGTGGACTTTGAATATAAGGTACATTTCAGGATCGGGAGCATTGTAACTGCATAGCATTCTGTATAAAGGGTAGTTAGTGGAGTTTAAAGTTCTTTGTATGTCGGCTGAGAAATAATAGTTCAGGTCTTCTGCTTAACCTTTACTTTTTTACCCTTTCTTCCACCAATAATATTCTCATTGCTCTTCCTAGTTTCAGACTGTTACCACGCAGTAATAACCTTTTTTCTTCGATCTTCTCCAGTTCAAATCTTGTGTATTCTCAAATGTCTTAATCGCAGGTGGTTCTTGGTGAGCCAGATGAGACCAGTTCACGCCAGGAAGGTCTTCCCGTGCCTCGACGAGCCGATCTTCAGGGCCAAGTTCAAGCTGTCGGTGTGGCACACCCGGGGATACCAGGCCGTCTCCAACATGCCTCCTGTAGTCACCGAAGTCATCGGGTAAGAGAGAATTTTTGTTATAGTAAAATAAAAAATATTGTGCATTTATTGTACCTATGTTTGACATTTTAATAGTGTCTGTGTTTTATACACTTAATGAGTTATAAATATGATCGAAATTTATTTTTGTTATTAAAACATTAGCTCCTTCAAAAATCTACTTATTCACTTTTTGCAATGAATCGATGATATGACCAACATTTTTTACTTTCACTTACGTCTATATATGTAATATATAGTAAGGGTAAGTATTGCGATCGTGAAAATTTTCGAATCTCAGTTTTCAACAGAAATACATGTTTTGAGATCCCCTGAGTCCAAATAACAAAGTGTCGCAAAATGGTCTGTGTGTTAACAGTCTAGCTCATAAACGAAAAGTAGTACGAAACTGATATTAAGTATTTAAAGTTCGTATATGAGTCGGATGTGACAGTAACTTTTTCGTTAAAATCGTCTTACCGAAAGTGCCACATTATATGAACGCTGAAACGCATTTTTACAATTTTCTCAAAAACGGCTCTAACGATTTTGATTAAACTCGGTGTATCATTGTATAATTAAGTGGTCTTTAATATCATATAGGTCTTATCCCCGTTGATGTCACTTTACAGGGCTTAAATGCCCATTGTTCATATATATCTTCCTCTAAAGTACCTTTAATATGGTTTATTTTAAAAAGTTAATCATTTCGCATTATTCAGAGTTACGAAAAAATGCTACATATAACTTTTGAAAGAATTTGATAAGTTAGTAAAGGAGAAAAAAAAATAAAATGCAGAAAAACCTGCGTTTCTACAGACTGTAGCGCCTAAACGAATGTACCGATTTCGGCCGCGCTTTAGCCAAATCGGCCACCCCGCCCTCACGCAGGTTATAACTACAGTTTTTCTAGTTACTTATTTGTACTTTTCTTATTAATGTAGGGAAAGAGCTCTGACTGAATTCGAGGAGACACCTGAAATCCCAGTCTTCCTCACCGGCCTGCTGGTGTCCAAGTTCGGTTCGGTGAGCGGAGAACGAGGGTTCGTATCCTTGGCTGTTCCAGAGGAGGTTCCTTCCGTGGTCTACTCCGCAGAGATCGGGCCCAAACTGGTCGCGGCGATGGAGCTCCAGGTCAGCATACCCTACCCCCAGAAGAAGACTCACCAAGTAGCTCTGCCGCGTTTGGTGCCTGTCGCCATGGAGAACTGGGGACTCTTCAACTTCAGGTTACTAACTAACTTATATTCAAGTTTGTACCTAGTTTATTACTTTCACGATTTTAGGACATCGTATCCTCTTTTTTAGGAAGGAAAACATCCTTTACTCTGATAAGGACTCCCCGACGGTGCAGAAGCAGACCGTGGCTAGGTTCTCTGGTCACGAAGTATCTCACACCTGGATCGGCAACTCAGTGACCCTCGCCTGGTGGGACCACCTCTGGCTCAGTGAAATGTTCGCCATGTACCTCGAGTATTTCTTACCTCACATGGTTAGTATAGTCCTTAGAAACCAAAATAGCTCATTTAAAATACCATAATTTATTTAGAGTTAAATAAAAATTAGAAAAGCCTCATGTCCACCCATAACGATTGCCAATAATCCAGTGCCTTCAAAGAACTATGTACGGTACCTTGGACTCTACTTAGACAAAATTACATGGAACGTACATACGAAATTAAAAAGACAAGAACTTACTAGACGATATAGCCAACTTTCACATCTTCTGGACTACAGATCTTCACTTAACTTACGAAACAAGCGACTGATCTACAACACCTTACTGAGACCAATATGGACCTATGGAGCAGAACTTTCGGGTTCTGAAAAAGAAACACACATAAAGAAAATACAAACAGCACAATAAAAAATTTTACGAGAAATTGTTAACGCACCTTGGTACATTTTAAATACTACTATACATAACGAATTAAACACCCCCAACAGTAAAATCCTACATCCACGACAAATACACTACATTTCATTCTTCAACCCAAAATCATTCCAATCCTCTGGTTCTTTCTATCTCCTGCTCCCTGTTACCTGAACAACGCAGATTAAGAAGAAAATGGCCAAGAGACCAACTACATCAATAAAAACCAAATCAAGAAAAAACACCAAGACTGTACAAACACAACAAATTTGCTAGATGCGCAGCCGCGCAGGTGCAAATTGCATAAAATATAAATAAATAAAATAAGTTTGTGAAGATAAAAATGATCTGTAAATAACAGCTAAAAACTTTAGTTTAGTTAACTATTACAGCAACAGATAAATATTGGTTGGCCCGGAAAACAATGCAAGATTTTGGTATGAAAAGAAAAAGAAGAAAGATTTACAACTGTTTTATTTGATCAAAATAATATCCACTACTATCAATATATTTCTTCCAACGTGTTGGCAACTTTTCCATTCCGTGGGAATATAATTGATCAATTCCAAAAACACATTTTCTAATTTCCTTTGACCATTACATTGTTTGTCATGTAAGTAGTGTTCCATATCTCTAAAAAAAAATGATAATCCGTAGTTGAGAAGTCCTGAGAGTAGGTCGGATGTGGCATAGTTTCATATCCAAGTTCCAAAAGTGTGTGTGACGTCATATGTGGCTAGACGTTGCCATGCGACAAAATGGGCAATTAGGCGACAAATTAGCCGGTTACACAACTCGGAATTTCGCAATTTTTTTTTTCTTCCCTTCCTTGCCTTTTAGGCTACACGGTTTTTTTTTTCATGGACCGTGGAAGAATGCAGTGGAATTATACCGAGTTAAAAGTCCTACCGGACACCGGGATTTGAACTAGTAATTATTTTTCCAGCTCTAACTTCGGTTATCAGGTTGCCAGGCTACGCGCGGTGTTGTTAGACAGCGCCTGGTGGATAGAATAGTATTATCTATATATATATATATAAATGAATGTCTGTCTGTCTGTCTATCTGTTTGTCCTTTGTACATTACTAAACCATTAATCCGATCGCTATAAAACTTTGAGAAGTTGTTCCGTATACTCGTGAGAAGGTTTCTGGCATAGCACTTCTGTCTTACGATAATTTTATATATGTAAAAAAAATAAAAATGTAAATGTTTCTGTTCAAAGCTCAAAAAAATGTGTCGCTATAAACTGTAGCGCCAAGACGGCTTTAACGATTTTAATGATACTTGGCTAAAGTCTTCCTCTTGAAACCCTTTTAATTTATGTGTTTAAAATACTTTCCCGAAAACAAGCTGAAAAATGTTACGATGAATTCAATGTTCTATTTGCCGATAACTAAAAAAGTACACAATTTTTGATTGATAATACCCATATTTATTTGAAAGATTCCTGATCTGCCGACAAAATAAAAAAGATGTCATCGAAATAGATAAGCATTATCTCCGAAATAAAGATATTTCTATAGGCTGTAGGAGTAAAGTGGGTTAAATAATTTTTTAAAGGAGAAAGAAAGTTGAGATTTGTATTTCGTACCTCGATAAATTTTCACTGGAATCGAAAAATAATTTTTTTTTGTCACAACTTTTCGTCAAGGGTGGGACCTTCAATTTTATTTCGGAAACTACAAACAGTGTGATAACTTAATAATGGCTCCACCTATAAACACGAAAAAAATCAGGGGTTTGGGGCCACGTAAACCGCACTAATCGCAACAAACCGTACCCCCGCAAGCATATTAGAAGTGGAGATAAAAAATTAAAACGCATTAGGAGATTTTCTTTATTTATTCCTCATTAAGGCGTTAAATCTAAAAGTTTTTGATATGGTTTTGAAGAGCAACATCTCAGCTTTCCAACGGTTATTGAATCATTGAATTAGAAGAAAATCCTGAGGAGTTATGAATTATTTAGCGAACGGTAGGGAAAAAGATTACAATAGACAGTGTATTGGTAACCATAGCAACCGGATTAACACCTGTCTCTTTATCTTCTCTTCTTCTATCTCTATATATATAAATGAATGTATGTCTGTCTATCCGTCTGTTTGTCCTTTGTGCATTACTAAACCATTCATGTTATATGTAGACATCGATTGGTAGTATCGGCATCGAACCTTTAGGTTCGCTAAGCCTTATTATAATAATCCGCAGGCTGATGCCTTTCATCTCAAGGGTCTAATTTCCTTGTTGGTTATTTCCGGCATAGCATTCACAATAATAAGACGGGTTTTCCCTCCAAAGATAAAAGCTTCGTGGAATTAACACAAGCGCATTTTACGTTATCGATTCATTATTCCCCAAGAAGGTTCTTGGTTATCTAGATAGGACTCTGTTTCTTTATTCTGGAGGAATAGGCCACGCAATATTTTTGTAGGCCACCTTCTTTCTCGATTTTGAGATCAATTTACTTAACGATTCAAGTGTAAAGCAAATGGATATTTATGAGTTTTTATTACTTCATCAAATTGATTAATTTAATGAGAAAACGCTCCATTTTTGATAATTTTCGAAGATAAAAGATTTTAGGTTACGATAAAATGAAGTCACGAAATTTTGAGAAATTCACGAAAAGAGAGTCCAAGGACTAATATGTGCCTTTCCATCAAAAGAGAATAATAACAAAAAAAAAAAAAAAACTAAGGTGTCTGTAACTTATAAATACCCATTTGCTTTCCACTTGAATCGAAAGGTATTTCGAGAAATAAAAGATAAATAAAAAGGTTATATATGCAAAAAAGACCAATAATTTTGCAAACCACCTTTTTAATAGATTTGTAATAAAATTGTTTTACAATTCAAGTGAAAACAAATCCGTATTCATGAGTATTTCGTATCTTAGTAAATTAATTTATTTAATGAGAAAATGACCTATATCTGAGAATTTTCATAGATAAAAAAACTAAGGTGTGTGCTTTAGACCACACGATAGAAGTGAAAACATCAACAATGTGAGATTAATAATATAAAATATAAATTATAAATAATAGCTCATTATAAAAAAGATGAAATGCTGAACATTTTCCCCACTAATAGTATGCAGGTTCCATTTTTACTTTCTGAGTTATTTTAATCCACATATTTTATAAAACTCAATCATTTTTTTATTTACAAAAATTCTCGGAATTGGTGCGTTTCAATTAGGTACTAAAAACTCGTAAATACCTATTTGATTTCCACTTTAATCAGAAGATAACTTGAGCACAAAGTCGAGAAAAAAGGTAGCCTTAAAAAATAATGAGCCATTTGGCGTGACCTACATCCCCAAAATGTCAAAATAACGAGATCATATAGACCAAACTGCTCAATGTTTTTTAAGGCCGCCTTTTTTTCTCGACTTGGTGCACAAGTTATCTTACGATTAAAGCGGAAAGCAAACGGGTATTCATGCGTTTTTAGTACCTAATTAAATAGACAAAGTTTGCCGATCTCCAGATTGAAAACTCCCTAATTCTGAAGATTTTCGTAAATAAAATATTTGTAGGTTACGGTGAGATGAAGCTATTTACGAAGTTTCAGCCGGATGTTAATAATTTGATAAAAAGAGGTCTGTTTCACGGACTAAGTATTTAATTCTAATTCAAAATAATAACAAAATTATAACCTTACTAATTGTAATGTTCTTGACATATCATTGAAATGTTAACATTTCTACGGATTTGAAATTTAATACCTGCATATTAGTAATCTATAAATCGTTTGACTGGGCTTTTCGTTACGATACTTCATTTTGGGGAATTCGATCAGCCTTAATTATCGAGAAAACTTTCAGAGGAAAGTTGCGCAACTAATGACCTGGTTTTATTTTGATTATTTCAGCATGGCGTCAGAAATAATCAGCACAACTGATTTATGATATCGTCGCAGATATGATATAGATGGCGTAGTATACCTCTGTTCATTATTGCAATTTACAACTATCTAAATTTATATATTTAAAATTAAACATGATTTCATAATATGAAGTATCCCCACATATATTATTACAGTAAGGCTCAAAATTTGTTGCTTTGTATGCCATGAATGGTGCACCATTGGATTCCGAATTTCACGCGGATTAGCGAATCGTATTATCCGTTTTTTTCTGTATAAAATAAATAAATTCAATACAAACATTTCGCTAGGTTTCAATACTGGAACGGTGTTAAAATGGTGGATTGAGACGGAACAAATTTTCGCTTAGAAATTTTGATGCGGACTTAATACAAATAAATAAAATAAAACAACGGCATAATAATAATACTAAAAATAAATATATATATATTTGACATTGGAAAATGTCTTTAGGGAGTTATTGGAAACCGAAAAAGGGTTAGATCTGGGTGGGACCAAAACACCCTATGATGATCTGATCCTGTTCAACGAAGACACGGAAACTATAAAACTAAGTACGAAAACGTTAATGGAAGTCGGTAAAGAACTAGGGATCGAAATAAACACGAATATGACAAAATATATGATTAGCAGCAAAAATTTCGATATTGCCGATGATATCAATATAGAAGGTAATATGTTTGAACACTTAAAGAAATTTAGGTATCTAGGTTCTACGATAACTGGAAAAAACGAAATTGAAGAAGAGATTAAGGTTAGACTGAAAGCGGGAAATGCTTATTACTGCGAATCGATTATAATCGAAATTAAATACAGGCGTTTATGAACTCGATGTTTTGCGGCTTAAAGCCCTAACAAACAGACTGCATTAGAGCCTTTAATAACTGAGGGACTGGTTCAAGGTGGAGCCGCAATGGAGGATGGACGAGCAGATGGCGATAGACCTGACGTTTGCCGGGCTTGCTGCCGATTCGCCGCAAGCAGAGCCGCTTACGACCAAGGTGCTCACGCCGCAGCAGGTGTCCGCCAAGTTCTCCGGTCTCACCTACACCAAAGGTATTTTTATACTTCTTATGCAATTAGTGATATTCGTATACATATATATATATATATATATATATGTATATATATATATATATATATATATATATATATATGACGCTCCCGTGTCTCCTTTCACTACACTGAGTTAGGGTGGCTCTTCCCCTCCTTAGGAAGACAATATTTCCTAGACACTTTCCTTTATCAAATCATTACCGATCATCTTCCTTCTGATGCCTACAACCTTCTCCAATTTAAGTCCTCAATCCATTCCCTCACTACAAGATCCCGACCCTCTGACCTATACATCCCTTCTCATAGATCTGCCTCATTCCAAAACTCCTTTATAGCCCGCTGTGTCAACTTTTGGAATTCTCTCCTGATCAAAATTCGACATGCCCCTTCCCTATACACATTCAAAAATCTCCTATTCCAATTCCTGTTCCAAAAACAGTTAGATACCAGCTAAGTATTAATACTATATATGTATTGTGTAGCAATAATACAATCATAATACTTGGTAAGAGATAGTACATGCATTTCCTACTATCGACGTAGGAATTACAATACATACATTGTTTTTTTATTCAATTATAATTAACTGTTTATTTATATATATATATATATATATATATATATATATATTCAAGTAAAGTTTTTTTTATGAAATGAACTCATTCTATCTCTTTTTCGTTCTACATTTCTCAAAGTGTATGTTTATGTTGTTCAACCCTTATATATAGTTTTGTTCACAGTTTCAAGTGATTCGTTCATAGTTCTAGTTTTTTTGTTCATAGTTTTAAATGCTCTGTACATAGTTTTATCTGTATTGTATATAGTTTATGCAGCTAAGGTTTTCTTTACTTTTTATTTTATCAATTTTATTTTTGTTTCAAACTTTTAGGCCAGTAATATTCTATTCTTTTGTACAATATTGTTATTCTAAAGGGACTTAGTCCCAGAATTTTTTTTTCTATCTATCTATATATATATATATATATATATATATATATATATATATATATACTAGTTGGCCCGTGCGAATAATTCGCAGAAAATTTTGTTTATTGAAGAAATAGCAAAACAGTATGGAAATAAATAGTTCCTATTTATTATGTAAGGAAGGAATTAATATTTTTCCTTGGTCGATTACAATATTCCATTAAACATAATAGACACAAATATTTGTACAAATTATTTTGCTAAAATCTATTTTGTAACGCTGAATGGAAAAATAAGAAAAGTAATAAAGATAATATTATGAGTTTTATGAAGGAAATAATAATCATACTCTAATTAAAGAAGGTATAATTGCAATTTATTTGTCTATAAAGTAACAGAAGTTCAGTATTTCATATCAATATAAATAATAAAACAGTAAAAATAATTGTAAAACAATTCTAAACTTCATTCATAAAAATATAACCTTGCATACGTCAGCAAAAATTATGTACGAAGTAAGAGGCTGGTCGATCTTCGTATCTAGTACATTACGTCATAACCTCTTACAAACGGCAACACTAGATATTATCGCTTAATAATTAGAAGAGACACTGCTAACTAAATACTAATTGCTATTATGAAGCTCTAGAATAAGTTTTATATTAAATATTAATTATTTGCCTTCTGATTGACCAAAACTTCGAGAAATGAAAAACTTTAAGATCTTTTTATTTGTTTCGGAGATTAGTGAAATCTCACCGAATCGAATGAGCTTTCAAATTATCAATCCAAGATTTATTTATATATTTTTATATGAAACGTTATAGATACTAGTTTCCAATGATAATAGAAATTATATCGGCTTTAATTTAAATATCCACAGAACACCTCTAATTTGAATTGCAAATGAGAGAGACAGGGAATGTTACTACATGCGTGGCATTCACCATGACCTGTTTATTTCATAGTAAAAAGTCGATTGCTTGACTTCAGATCGGGAACTGATAAAATGCGGTTATTGGCTCTGATTTCAGCGGTTTCCAACTGTTTATTTGAATGGAATTGAATCAATAAATCATAATTATAGATCCCATTTTCCGTGCTTGACGGAAACACTCAATAAAGTTATAATCGGTAATAATCGGTCCGAAAAGTTTGAGATTTGTTCGGGTTTAAAACTAGGTGGATTCCCTTTCGCCGACCCAATTAATTTGGCGTTAGAACATGCCATTAGGGAGGTAATGCGTACCGAAAAAGGGTTGGATCTGGGCGGGACAACATCCGTGCTGGGCTATGCTGATGATCTGGTACTGTTAAGCGAAGACGTGGAAACTATAAAACTAAATACGACAACTTTAATGAATGCCAGTAAAGAACAAGGGCTCGAAATAAACACGGATAAGACAAGATATATGGTTAGCTGCAAAAATGGTGATATTACTGGTGATATCGATATAGATGGTAATATGTTTGAACAGGTAAATAAATTTAGGTATCTAGGTTCTACCTACACAAAGCCGAATTGCGTGAACTATATCCGGATAATATAATTGAGGTGATTTCATCCCGTCGAATCAAATGGGTTTGTAAAATTGTTGGGCTTGTGTAATTGTTGGGCTTAGTAACGAGAGAATTCCTAAAAGGTTAATATTTGCTGTACCGAATGGTAAACGTCCGAGGGGTAGACCAAAGCGAAGGTGGGGAGATTGCATTAAAGCCGATCTGAAGGGACTGGGTTTGGACGGCGAACGATGGAGGGAGGTGTGTAATGAGCGATTGGTGGTGTCGGCATCGAACCTTCGGGTTCGCTAAGCCTTTTATTATTATTTTTCAAATTATTAATATCCTTCCAAAATTTTATGAAAGATTTCTTCTTATCTTTCTTTTCGTAAGTTTTTGAAGTGAAAACTTGTTTAAGAGCTTTTTCAACTTTTTTTGTGAAATTAATTAGATTGAGCCGTCAGATCTCCGATGTGTAACGCTCGGATAAAATATCTCAAAAACTAAAAATCGGACCTACATGTTGTTAGCGACGGAAATGTTCAGCATTTCATCCTCTTTATAATGAGCTATTAATAAGATATAATAAGGCAAGATTAATAACATTAAACTTTTGTATTTACGAAAATTCGGAAAATATTCGGGATTGGGTCCTTTTTGAATCTGGAGATCGGCAAACTCTGTCTATTTACTTAACTAATAGAAATTTATAAACTGATTGAATCGTAAGATATTTCGAGAAAAAAAAGTAAATAACAAGGTTATATAGAGAAAAAAGACCAATAATTTTCTAGTCAACCTTTTTTATAGATTTTTTAATTAAATTGTTTTACGATTAAAGTGAAAACAAATCAGTACTTCGCACCTCAGTAAATTAATTTATTTAACGAGAAAATTGCCTATATCTTTAGACCATACCATAGAAGTGAAAACATCAAGGCGAGATTAATAATATAAAATATAAATTATAAATAATAGCTCATTATAATGGGGATGAAATGCTGCACATTTCCCTCGCTAACAACATGTAGGACCGATTTTTAGTTTTTGAGATATTTTAGTCCATCAATTCACTTCACACTTCAATTAATCGAGTCCACCCGACTTTATCCGAGCGTTACACATCGGAGATCTGACGGCTCAATCTAATTAATTTCACTAAAAAAGTTCAAAAAGCTCCTAACCAACAAAACAACAACAAACAAAAAGCTTCTCCGGAATTATCGGATCCTGCGCTTTTAATCCCAAAAACGTACCATTTTCGAGATATCGCAAGGTATAGGGTTCGCATCCACACAGCCTTACATTAATTGTAGTACTGTCATTGGATACATGTCTCATTTCGTTGAGGTTTCTATGACCGAGAGAGGAGGAGTTTATATTATTTATCGATGGTGATTGGCAAGCCCATTTCAAAAACTATCATCGTTAATTTTTCACCAAATCTCAAGATTGAGCCACCAATTTCGAAGGTTTCCTTCTCCTTCGGGCGAGCAAAATAGTCCAATCACCCCGAAAATTCACACTTTTACCTTGGTTATGCCCATGATCATATAAAAGATTACTAAATCCCCTACAAAAGGAGAAAAAAAAATCATCGAAATTGGACTATTTTTAACAAAGATACAGCTTACTGAAATTTGTAAATATGTTGGTTCCAAACAAAAATGAAGATTTAAATAATTTTTTGTTTTCTTTGTCGATTATATTTATCGATAAAGTAAGACTTGATTTCTTTATCTTTTAATACCTAGTATTATTTTCTTTTCTTATTAATTAGGCATTTGATAACAATATGCTGTACGAATTTTTCGCACGGGCCTACTAGTCTTAACTTATTTGGTAAACTTTTGTTTTTTAAATATCTTGACAAGTACTTGTCTAAAAAACTTACAATAAATTTACAAGTATGTTTATATATTGAGAAAACAGGAAAACAATTATGAGAACTGTCGAGAGAAAATGAAAGTTGAAAACGATACTGAAAGGTGTCGTTTAGAAAACAGCTGACTTTCAAGGTTGAGGTCGTTGAAACCTGTCTGGAGCGATCTGTTCATTAACCACATTCCATTTAAATAATTAATTCAGTATTTAATTAAATTAGTAATATTTATCAACACAATTAATTTTTTTTGTTATCTTCTTAATAATAAACTGTTTTATTCTGGGTTTGAAATCGATAATTTAAATCTGATAAAAATTTTTATCTGGAAATTTAAAAAAATCATTTTATTTTTTATCATAAATGATAAAAATTATATAATCATTATTTTTGAACAAAATTTTTAAAATTTACAATAATAATAATAGCTCTTGAGTAATACTTTTTCAATTCAGAAACATAATTTTTTTCCAATCTTTGATATATTTTGAGTCTGGAGTAGTAGGTGAAGAATATTGTTGTAAACTATCAGCAAGAGAACATCTTAACAATTTATTAGAAATTTCGGCTAACAAAAAAAAAAGTATGTATTCTAAAGTAAAAAAAGTATATATGTATATATATATATATATATATATATATATATATATATATATATATATATATATATATATATATATATATATATAAA